AACGTTCATAAACTTTACAAAAAACTTATATCTTACAATATTCCCCTAGAAACCTGCAACACCATATTCAAAATATTAAATAATAGACACCTCTACATCAGAAGCATCCAAAACGACATAATTGGACCAGTACATGCATCCAAAGGACTCCCTCAAGGCTCACCACTTAGCACAATTCTATTCAACATATACATGAAGGACATCTTTGAAGTATTGGACAGGGAAATAATCACTATGGCATATGCAGATGACATCGCCATTTTTACAAAAGGAAAAAATATTCCCATTCTCATAAACAAGATGAATGCAGCTCTAGAAAAAATAAATATTTGGCTCACAAATAATGAACTTACATTATCCCCAACAAAGTGCGAGCCAATGCTCTTTACCAAAGGCAAAAGGAACGGGGTTTTCCCTCCAATAACTATTCAACATCAACACTTAGCTTTTTCAGATTCCATTAAATACTTGGGTATGATAATAGATAGTCAACTTAACTGGAATAAACACATCGAATATGTCACTCAAAAAGCCGGGAAAGGCATCAATATTTTGAAAACCTTTGGCAAAGTGTGGTGGGGGGCAGACCCCCAGACTCTGCTAAACATACACTCCGCAATTGTTATGTCCCATTTAGAATACGGGGCATTTCTCCTCAACCTGAACAAAAAAAACTTTAACAAAATCAAAACCGTTCAATACAACTCACTGAGAATAGTCCTTGGATGCACCAAATCTACTCCAACAAACGCACTCTTAGCAGAATCCAATCAAATGGAGTTCAATTTCAGGCAGTTGTGGTTGGGAATTAAGTTTTTCACCAAATCAGTTAACATTCATCAACACCCCATCATCCCATTGATCAAAGCTATCAAAATCCATTACATGAATAATGCAAATTACTGGAGAAGAAAGGACATACCCTACCTGGTCCAAGCTTTTAACTACTTTTTCCCTTACAGGAACAAAATAGAAAAAATTGATATTTGGCCATGCTACAATATAAAATACGAAACCCAAATAAGGAATATCCGCACCATCAACGTCAATATTGGGAAAAGGGATCTTTCTGCAAAAACTAAATTCATGGCCAACACAGAAAAGTTTAGAAAAGATTATATTTTCATATATACTGACGGATCAAAAAAGGATCATGAAGCTGGTTTTGGAATACACTGTCCCTCCTTAAAACATAACTTCAGCTGCAGACTGCCAGATGGGTTCGACATCTGCTCAGCTGAAATAGTAGCCATACAAGAAGCCATCATATTCCCAGCCAAAAGAAACATCAAAAAAGCAATCATATTCACAGACTCTAAAAGCGCAATAGACATCCTCAATCAAAACTTCATGAATCCGGATATGAGTAGCCTGGCCCTCAGAGCCAAAGCGTTATTGATTGCAACATATGAAACAGGCTATGACATTAAACTGGCATGGATTCCCAGTCACGCGGGAATCCCTGGCAATGAAACAGTTGACAAGTTGGCTTATATTGGAAGAAAACTTCAGGTTCCAAAAAACCTTCCACTAAACAAAAATAACATCTTGGCCTCCATCAAAGGAAAAATTTTGAAGGAGCACGAGTTGGCTTGGAAAAGCACCCTCAAACAAAAAGGCAAGTGGTACGCCCTTGTACAGGACAGCTTTCCTAGGTCAACATGGTTTAAAAAATTCCCTTACATAGATCGACGACACATTACTGTAATAACTAGAATGAGAACCGGACACTTCCTTTCCAACCAATACCTGCACAGAATAGGCAAAAAAGACTCCCCAAATTGCGAATGCGGCCAGATCGAAGATTTAAATCACATTTTCTTTGAATGCCCAATTAATAAAATAGTAAACGTGGACATGTATTGGCAAATCATGGAGTTCGGACATCCGGCACCTCTTTCAATGATTACTGCACTAAGAAATTTAAACACTAACACAATTAAAAGTCTGGTCTCCTTTCTCAATTACAATAAAATAAACTTGTAAGCACTTCCAAAAATTTTGAACGATCCAAAAACATTGAAACAGCAACACACTCATCCACAATCACTCAATATCATGAACAAAAGAATATTCTTAAAAAAAAAAAAAAAAAAAAAAAAAAAAAAATAAAAAAAAAAAAAAAAAATAAAAAAAAAATAAAAAATGAAAAATATCCCAAAAAAATTTCCTTTTTAGAAAAAAAAAAAAAAAAAAAAAAAAAAAAAAAAACATCCTCCCCACCTGTGTTGTGTCATCCTTTTATGTGTTTACAACCTCAACTCACAGGAGGAAAGAAAATAAATTCCATAAACCAGATAAAGATAACAGCAGCAGTAAAATCTCGAAGACCTTGAAAGTACAGCGTCCGGAGCATGGCTTAGAGCCAGACAGCTCTCTGGATACCAACAAATGTGCTGGCAAATTGCCCCTTGTGGAGCAGAGCCAATATTCAGTTAAGAAGAAGAAGAAGAAGAAGTACTTGACTTAAATTTGCACGTTGGTTGGCCACACGACGAAAGTTTAACTTTCTTGGGTTGCAATAAATATAAAACGCATATTTTCAATTCACAAAAAGTAAAATAAGTTTGAAGTTGTTTAAGTTGAAAGTGAATATTTAAAATGGTTGATTGTGTTCAAATTATGGAAGAAAACTCTCAAGCTTTTCTTTACAATTTGAAAACAACGGATATCACTTTGAAATATGGGACCAAAGGATTTCTACTAGAAAATGGTGGCTCCATATTGTGTCTAGAAACTGCAGATGTTGATGTAATTAGAGTTTTATTAGCCCAAGTTTTAATAAATTTCAAAAAAGATTTCATTTTAAAAGAAAAGTTAAATGAAATTATTTTCACTAATTTCAGTAGTTTTGTTAAAATGACAGCAGAACAAAATGAAGATTTTCTGAAAAATTTTCCTGAATTGTTAGTTTGCATTTTGGATAATGAAGAACAATTATTAGATCAACAATCCCACATATTGGAATCTTGGATAAATATTATCAAAGTGAATAACAAGAAAATCATGTTTATTATGAAAAATTCACAATATCTGGAAAAAACTATGATGGATAATGAAATGACGAATATTTCTACATTGAAGTTAAATGAATTGTGGAAAAATAATGAGATATTGTTGACAAATAATAAAGCCATTTGCGAAGTTGGAAAAAATTTACTGAACATTGAATCGACTTTGACAAGAGCCTTAGATGAGTGCACGGATATTGATTTAAAGGAAGAACAATCAACTGGAAACACGTCATTATAATATGATGAAGCAACAACTAAAGAAGCAGATTTAGAAAAATTATTACAATTACTCGGTGTGAAAGATTTGGATGCTGTAGATAGATATGGCGATACTCAATTGCATTTGGCAGCTCAAAATGGAAAAAGAGAAATTGTTGAATCTCTTTTACTTCACGGAGCAAAAAAAGATGTAAAAAATATTTCTGGCGATACAGCTCTTCATTATGCAGCTAAAAAGGGTGACAGTGCAATTGTTCATCTGTTGCTTGAAAATGGATTTAATGTAAATGCCACTGATAAATATCGAAAAACTCCATTTCATTACGCAAGTTCATACCATAATGATGCCCATTTGATAGAAATTCTTTTAAAATTTGGTGCAGAAATGGAAAGAAAAACTCTTATTGGCCGAACAGCTCTTCATTTGGCATCTCAAAGAGGTCACAGTGCAGTAGTAAATTTATTGATGAAAAAAGGTGCCAATGTAAATGTTCAAGACAATAATGAAAATACACCCTTGCACTTGGCTACATTAAACAATAAACCAGAAGTTGTTTTATTACTTTTACAATACGGCGCCCTTTTGAACATAAAAAATAAACAGCAACAAAATGTTTTTGATTTGATAAAATAATCCAAATATTAGAAAATCATGTTACAACAAAATAAATGAAGTCAAAGATGGTAAGTTTTTTTGTTTAATTTTGTAATTTAATTAAAAATAATTCATGTATTTTATTTCAGCCAAAAACTTTTAGACAATATAAGTGGATTACAAAACAGAACAACGAAAAATTATCGGCACTTTTATTCCCATTTTGAAATAGAATGTAACAAAATTTATAATGTGTTTTATTTCCATTTTTTTAATAATTTCTAAATATATGATGTTTATACTGGGTGTTTTTCAAAACATGCTCACCCCTATAACTTCTTTATTTTTCCAAATAAACAAATTAGTCTAGGAAAATTGTCGATTTTCAAAAAAAAGAATCCTACCCAAAAGAACTTTTCAGGGATGATAGGGGGAGGGTGGGCGATCATAAAACCGAAAATATCAAACATTCACCCCTCTGGCGTTTTGCGCTATAGGGGTTGAAAGTGCGCCATTGGCGATTACTTGGTACCTATTGATTTTACAAAAAAATGTTTTAGATAAAACATGTGTAACCTTATTTGATCTACAATGTTTATCTGAAGACTTTTCTGATTAAAGGCCGTATGTGGTCATAAGGGCCGTTTAAAATTTATAATGAAAATGAAAAATTTTAACCAACGTGAAAAAAATTTCTACAACATTTTTTAACGTTTTTTTATTTTTGTATAAAAAAATTTTCTCAATAAAAGTTTTATAAGATTACATTTCCTACAATTTTTCCTTATTAACTTTTTTTGTAACTCACCCCATAGAAAAATTTTAGTCTTTAAGGGTAGGTACAGGGTGATCCAGTATAAAGTGAATACCTCCTACCTTTTCGCTAAAAAATTTTTTTTGAAAAAATCAAGATAGCCATTTGATGTTTTTTGTTTCTAGGAATTTGAAGACGTTTTTTAAAATTTAATTAGATTTTTCGTTAAAGCGCTGTGACGACAAAAGTAATTTTTTTAAATGGAATAACCTAGGTATATTCAAATCAATTTTTCGAACGCCTCCATTTTCCTCATTTCAAATATATAGTTTGTTTATCTTTTTTTCAGTAATTTGCCATATATTCTCATTTCAAAATTCCCATAAAAATAGCAGCCGAAAAGGTATCATAGAACATAATGTCCAGTAATTTTATTGAAGGTAAAATTATTTAAATTTACCTTAATAACTTTTTGGCTATTTCTATTTGAATCTTAAGTAAGTATATTCCAAATTACTAAAATAAAGATAAACAAACTATATATATTTGAAATGAGGAAAATGGAGGCGTTCGAAAAATTGATTTGAATATAGGTTATTCCATTTAAAAAAATTACTTTTGTCGTCACAGCGCTTTAACGAAAAATTTAATTAAATTTAAAAAAAAAAAATCAAATTCCCAGAAACAAAATACCCTAAATGGCTATCTTGATTTGTTAGAAAAAAAAAATTTTAGCGAAAAGGTAGGAGGTGTTCACTTTATACTGGATCACCCTGTAGATATTAATTTTTTTTTTCTTTTCTCGCCTTTACTGCATATAAAAAGTTGCAATTAACATTGTATTAAAAGGATTTCTTTTCCACCACCTTTTTGTTTCTAAGGGTAGTTCGCCTATTTTCAACTTTACAAAAAAAAATTATTGAGAAAACTTGTCATTTTATTATTTTGAATAACTTTTCTTTATAATTTTTTTTTGTAAAGTTGAAAATAGGCGAACTACCCCTAAAAACAGTGGCGTATCTACCGGCGTGCCATGTGTGCGAAACACACATCCTTTACAGCTCTACGGCACTAAAGGAAAATAAGTCGCTCTTTATTGGTTGAAATCCGCAGAGCTGTCAATGTTCAGAACAGCTGATTTCTATTTTCTAAGTTTATTATTTCTTGTTGGATACTGACAAGCTTGTGATGATATAAATAATATATAAAATAAAGCTTTGATTTTGAAGAGTTTAATAAAATATGATAAAAAAAAATATGCACTGTTATATTTTCATAATACATCATATACAGGGTGGAATTTTTAAATGGAATAAATTCAGTATCAAAAAGTGTTTATTTTCTGGAAAAATAAAAAAGCGGGTCCCTTTGTTTTCAGTTTGGCACATTTTTTCGGCCTTTTCATGGAATTTACCCCTTTCTTAAGGGTAGAAACCATCCCCAACTTTTTTTTTTATCAAATGTAAAGATATGTATTGTGATAGTTCGTTGGAATGGGCATAAAAAAAGGAATATGACCCATTATCTACTTTTGCATTTCGGTGATTCAGTTATGCAAATAATTATTTTTGACAACACACTATTTTAGGGTCGAGAATCTGAGTATCACTCATCAAATCGTGTATCAACGTCAGAAATAATTAAATAACGTTACAAATGTGGCTTGTTTCGCATTAGGGTTCTACCAAGAAGAAATGCTGAAGAAATTCAACAATTTTAACTGTAAAAAATTGTGTGGAAAAATATGTTTTTATTTCTTTCTCGCTTTCTAGATCACCGAAATGCAAAAGTAAATAATGAGTCTCTTTTCCTTTTTTTATGCCCATTCCAACAAGAGCTATCACAATACATACCTACCTATTTTTACCTCTTCAAGGCACCCCAAGCACTTTTGATGTGCTTCAAGCACTTTTCAAATCACTTTGAGGGCTTTGTGCTTGTCAAGCCCAAAGCACTTTGAAGGCTTTGTGCTTGTGAAGCACTTTTGAAAATGAAAAGGAATTTGTGCTGGAAATTGAAGCACTTTGATAAAGGGCTTAGGGCTTAGTGCTTCAAGCCCTTTTACCGAGGGCTTTGCCCAGCTCTGGAAGGTTGCTAGTCAACGTCAGCTGACAGGTCGACAATCCAGACCTTCCACTAGTTCCTCTGGTTCAGTGTGGAGCCCCATCCTCATTGATGCATTGACTGAACCAGAGAGCCAGGATGAAAATGTACCTCCAAACAACATCTGTAGCCCTGTCGCAAGCTGCAGCTATAGGCGAAATCAACGGAGCCGGAACGAATCAATCAGGAGCCCAATTCCAAGCTGCAGCTACAGCAGGGCAAGTGACCAAGAAGAAGAAGATGATGATGAAATCCTGGCTACAGATACAGAGACTCCTAGATTAACTTGTAAGCGAATTTATTTGAATAGGCCAAGCTGATAAATAATTTTCATATATTTTTTAGCATTCAGAAAATCAAGAACTTTGTCAGAGGATGATGTTGTCCCGACTCATGAAAATCGATCACAGACTTTCACATCGACTTCTAAGTTACATTATTAGAACTTAGAACATACTCAATGGATACATAATGTTTACATTTTTTCAGCATCAAAAAAACAAACATCTCCCAAAGAAATGGAACAAGTTATCAAGATTGCAAGTTCCCTGGCCCAAAACCTGGAGAGAAAAACAATAAGAAAAAAAAGCAGAAATGCAATATTTGTGGAATATCTTCTCGATATATTGGAAGGGCTGTCCGAAGAGGAGGCAGGCAACATAAGAAGAGATATATTGAAATATCTGTGTGACAATCATTTAGATCAAATTTAGATTGATAAAATAAAAATAAAACCAACAATTTATAATATGTATTTACTTGCATTATTTATTATTTTTTGAAAATCTATTTCTTGAATTTATCTCACATCTTATGTATGTAGGTAGATATAGACTCCATAGCTGTTTGAGATAATTTTTAAAAAGATTCAAATCAAAGATTGATTTGTATATGAAGAAAGATTTAAATTTCTAGAAAAACTGCTCAGTTCCTAATTAAAATAGTATATTGTTGTATTAGGAGTAGAAGCTTTACTTTTTTGTAGGTTTTGGGTTAGCAATACTGCTGAAGCACAAAAAAGTGCTTCTACTCCGTATGCAACACGCTATTTTTTCTCCAAACTAAAGCCTGGGACCCATCTATCATGCATTCTTCCGATCCGACTCCAATAATACAATCAGGGTCCTTATTCTTGGAACAGGGAGCAGTGTTCCCAAAAGAACGAGTGTTCCACTGCTCCCCTGTTTCAAGAATAAGGACCTTGATTGTATGATCGGAGTCGGATCGGAAGAATGTATGATAGATGTGTCCCGGCCTTAATGGGGTAAGCTCGGGGGCAAATGGATGGTTGACTGGCAGTAAAAGTACGAGCGGCACTAAAAGTACTTTTATTTTCAACCACATATGTAATGTTGACATTGCAGGTTTTTCAAAATCTTGAAAGTGTCACATTTCTGGACTTTGACATTTATCGGGACGGTAATGCATATGCCTGCCTAGGACGGAAAAGCATTTTCCGTCCGGGACGGCAAATGCTTTTCCGTCCCCATTTCCCTGCTCGTTCCAAATTGATAATTTTCATACAGCTCTCACATATAATAATAAAACCACATGTATTACATGGAACTAATTAAATCTATTCACTTATTTACATTAATTGTTAAATTAGCATTGTTGTTTATAATGGAAATCTTGAGACCATCCTGTTGGAATTGTGTTTCGTTTGGAACTATTATCTCTTGCGCTTGCGGATGAGTTTCCGCATGTGATGTACTTGTGGATGCACTGGACAACTGAATACCTTTGGAAGTAGAGGATAGCATCAGAGCAGTCTTACTTTTGTTCTCCAAAGATGCCTCTATGTAGCCTTCAGCAACCGTGCTCGATTTCCACCCTCCCAGTCTTTTGAGTTGCAATAGATCGGCCCCGTTGTCAACCAATAAGGTTGCGGAAGTACGACGAAAAGCATGCCCTGTAAAAGTTTCAATTTTTGGAAGCTTCAAAAAACCAGCTATTTTATGTGGAAATTTTGAGATTGAATGATAGCCAATTGCTTGGTTATGTAATTTCCCATTTCGCCATTGAACAAATAACCTGTCATTTTTCAAATTTTTCCGCAAAGTGAGGTATTTGTGGAAAATAGCAACCCAATCTGGATCGCTTATGATAAACGATCGACTTGTGTAAGTTTTTGTGTGTGGAATTTCTATAGCGATCTTTCCTTCCAAAACGTTGACGTGCTCCATTTTCATCTTGACTAGTTCATCGCTCCTACATGCACCCGACACACCAACAATTAGCGCTACCTGAAACCAGATAAAAATAAAATGGGTAACCTAGCTATAGCATACAGAAAATCATTTTGATTTTCGCATTTTTATCTTCTTTGTATATTTTTTGAAAACCTACCTTGATGCTAATGAATTCTTCAGCTGCCTTCGTGAGGAACTCGTTAATGTTTTCTCTGGAAAAAACGCTCGACTTTTTCGGCTGAAAGCCCAGATTTTGCCGCTTCAAAAAAGCTATAAGTTTTGCGTAATTGGAGATATCAACTTTCTCTTTCAATTTAATCATGGTTTTCAACATACTGTAAGTCGACCATAAAGTCGAAGGCTTCTTTTCCTTAGATAATTCGCCAAAATACGCCAACAAAACGGTCTCCGAGGCAGTATTTCTCGTTCCTTTCTGGCTACACCATGCTTCGAATATTTGAAAAGCCTTTTCGTACCGAAATTTGCTTTTTGCTGGAAGCAAACTCTCTCCAATCCTGTCTGCTGCTTCTTTTAATTCAGGTGGGGTACAATCCATCGCTTCATCTTCACTTTCCGAAATCATTTCTTTGGGGAGAACGGGGAGAAATCTAGTGAAAATCTATTATTTCCGCAAAAATACTGAGCGAAAACTACCGTCGTTAAGGCGTTGTTGATCTTATCTATGGTTGTTGATTTTGCGGTTTCCTGTGGTTTCGTCTTTTGTTTTGGCCTTTACAGGGCCTTTGAGATCGTCAAAATTGATGACATTGACAAAAAAAGTGAAATATTTTTTTCTAAGGCCAGTTTTACACTATATGAAAATTTCGTATAACAGAATCTTTAGTTTTTGCATCAGAAAATTAAGGGTTGAAAATAAAAAAGTATACAAACCTCGACGGAAAACTTCATTTCTGTCTCGAGGTTGAGTTTATCTCGACGCTTCGCGTCTCGATAAACTATAATAACCTCTCGACCAGCAATGAAGTATTTTCCGTCTCGGATTGTAATATACTATTGCTGTCGCTGGGGTTGCCAAGCAGCATAGAAATTAAACTTCTATCACCTCGACAGGTGTTAACCCGCTAGATTTACCTAGCAGCATAGAAATTAAATTTCTGACATCTTGACAGGAGTTAACAAAGTGACGTTTTTTTGACGTTTGGAGAAAAAATAATATATGTACTTATGTTTATCCATGAGAAGAAAGTTTAACCGTTGTTTAACCCACGAGCCCTAGCAAGTGGGTTAATCTTCTTTGAATGAATAAACATTTTCTTTTCAACTCACATGATGTATACAAAATTTTATCCCATTTTGTGGAAGTTCAAAAAATAAAGTACAAGGAAAAATACAGAGAGTTATAGTTGAAAATATTTTAAATCAATGAGGTGTTGATTTTTTTTTTAGTTGGGCAAAGTGACTTAAAATGCTGAGAGTTATATATGTATATATTTTTTTTTAAATCACTCAGGTGATAATCGTCTACTTACCTTATTGTTATACTTTCAATAATGTCATTTTATCCCATTTAGATGTTTAAAAATGACATTATTGAACACATAATTACAAAGGTAAGTAGACGTTTATCATCTGAGTGACTTAATAGTATATTTCCTAACAAGTGCGGAAAGTGCTACTTTTCCGCACGCGATTGCAGTTTGCCGAACGACGCGTAGCGGAGTTCGGCAAGCAATCAAGTGAGGGAAAGAGACTTTCCGCACGAGTTAGGAACACTATTTTTTCTACGAGTTAGAAGGAACGTACCTACGTAATGTAAATTTTAACACCAATATTTGATAATATTTCTTCTTCAACACCTGGTATCAAAAACAAATCGAGTAATTTTTTCTTAATATAAATAAGGTACTTTCACAAATAAAACTCATTTATTTATTAATAAAAAAAAAACTAATTCTGAAATAATGTGCTTTATTCTGAAGACAATAAAATCGAGAACTTTTAACAATAATTTGTACGTTTGATGTATCTACTATGAAATTTTCGAAATTTTTAAGCATAAACTAACCATTCTATAGTAATTTCACAAGAAAAGTTGAGTTTAAACAAAAATAATTTAATAAATTACGTTATTGTGTCAATAATTCCCAATACTGATATTTGTGTAAGTGTGTCAGCTCATAATTTAAAAATTAACATCTGTCACTTTTCCGCACTAGTGCGGAAAAGTGAAACTTTCCAAACTAAAATGCGTGTCACTCTTGGTCTTCTAAGTGTCTCTGCCAGTATAGAAATCTGCTACAAATAAAAACAAACAACTAGTTTTACCTTAGCAACTACCATTTTCAATGTTAAAAATTAGCGCTCTCTAAATTAATTCTTTTTATAATTTGATTCCTATTAAGTACCTTATTTTTTAAATGTCCATCAAAATAGGATAAAATTTTGTATACATCACGTGAGTTAAAATGTTTATTCATTCGAAGAAAATTAACCAATTAACCCACTCACTAGGGCTCGTGGGTTGAACTTTCTTCTTATGAATAAACATTCATTTAACTCATTTTTGCATAATTAGCTATTAAACGTCAAAATGGGATAAAATGATTTTTAATTTGAAATTTATAAAATATTGAATATTTTTAGAAATTGAAAAGGTATATAATTCAGGAGTCATAAACATACACAAAGCTAATTCCTTAATTTTGAAAGTCGACAACTTTTGGTTTGAAAAAGAAATAATTTGTATTTACCAAAATAATTTGAGCAACACACATTTTAAATAAAATAAAAATAAAAAATTAGTGAAAGATTCTTGAACAATATCGAAACCTCTTAAACTAACCCAAGCCATTATAATTTAATTGAACAAATATATACATATACCTACTACAAAAAAGAAATTAGAAACTACCTATCTATTATATAAATATCTTAACTAAGCTAAGCTATCATAATTGATTAAACAAATATACATATAATACAAAAAAAAAATCCAAAACTACTTATCTATCAATTAAAAAAGTTTTTAGTTAATTTAAATTAAATTTGCATCAATAGAGACGTCTTGCCAGGGAACTTTACCTTGGTCTGATGTAAAGTAACCAGACAAGGCATCTCTTATTGCATAAATAGACCTTTTTGCTCTATTGGCTCCCAGTCGACCCACAGACCTCAGTGGTTCTTGATCAACTCTCCAGTTGCCATTGTTCTCACCATTATTATCAACAAAATTGTCGGGGCAATAAATATTACCGCCATCAGCGCCCGATAGCTCAGTTTGACAATAATTGTGTAAAACAACAGCAGCTTTCACAATGTTATCCACATTTTCCACATTGGCATTTATTGTCGTCCTTAATATCCTCCAGCGGGCCACTAATATGCCAAAGGTATTTTCAATAACTTGCCTAGCTCTGGAGAGTCGATAATTGAAAATTCTTTGAGGATGTGTGAGGTTTTTCCCAGGGTAAGGTCTCATAATAAATTTTTTTATAGGAAAGGCTTCATCCCCTACAAAAAAATAAGGCATTGGATCAGTTATTCCTGGGAAAGGTGTTTCTGGGGGTGTATTCATTTCTGAATTTTCCATCATTTGCCCAAACACACTGTTGCGGAATACACCACCATCACTTTGTGACCCATATGCCCCAATATCGACCAAAGTGAATCGATATTTGTAATCGCAGGAAGCC